CAACTGCTAACAAATTAATAAACTAAATTTCGTAGATTGGTACTTGCATTCACTCTTCAAACATAATTTTTAAATAAATAATTAAAATTCACATTCCTCATACATCCAGATAAACACTATGTTTTTATTTTGTTGAGAAATACAAACAAATTTTTAAGATAGCACAAGTATATAGGCAAATTTATTCTCAAAAGTATTCTTTTCAGCTATTTGAATCTTCAAATCTTGATTATTGACCCAATTAATTGGAATCATTTATTCACTAAAAACTATTTTATTTACTAATTATCTAAATAATAACAAATTTATTATTGTATTACCGAATAAACCCTTTAGTTTTATTAACATTTTTCTCTAGTTAGGTCTTCTTAAAAAAAAAATAAATTAAAGATTTGGTCCCCACAATACAATTAAATGCTTTAAGCTCTATTGACAATTGATCATAGCAAAATGATAGCTAAAGTTATTTTTTAGTAATTGTTAATAAACCTTATATTATCTAATTATGATGTAATGAGATTTGGGCGTAATTATCCTTTTTCTTTTGTTAGAATGTAGGCCTTTCTTTGTGCTTTGGTTTTACTATATAAAAAACGTAGTCATGATGAAATCAAGTTGCTTTATATTTGCATATGGTACAATTTAATGATGTCCTGCAAAAAAGTAACTCTTCCTTTTTCTTAGATGCATTTGAATTCATTTTTTTTATATTTTATTAATGATTATATCCAAACAAAATTTTTATTACTTTATGAATGATTGCCTTCATTTCCACACTACTATAAACAATATAAATATAAGACACCATAAAAAATGACGGTCAAACAAAACCACCTCATATATGAGAGACGAGTGACGGTAAGAAAATAAATGACGGGTCTTCAAATAACCGTCATATATTGTCAGACTTTAAATGATGGGTTTTTTAATACCCATCATTTTTTTCAGCCCAATGTTTCATTTACTGGAAGGAAAAAAATAAAAAATAAATTTGAACTTTAAATGAAATACCCGTCATATAAAGTTTAAACAACATATGACGGTTGTACAAACAACCGTCATATATTAGTGCCCGCCGTTTCAGATTCTTAAATTAAAAAAATAAAAAATTTTAAAACTTTAAATGACGTGTGTTTTAAACACCGGTCATTTAAAGTCCGAAACAATATATAATGGGTTTTTTAAAAATCCATCATATATTGGGGGCCAACGTTTCATTTTCTCAAATTAAAAAATAAAAAATTTTTAGCTTTAAAAGACGGTTGTTCATATATTCATGAATAAATGAGGGGTATTAGAATACCCGTCATTTATTTTCATTTTTATTCAGTTTCCAAACTCACTTTTCCATTACCACCCATTCATCGTCGCTATTTTCTATCTTCTCTACTTCTACACAAAATCGATAGAAATCTCTCAATCTGCCTCCATTGTTGCTGTTGACCACCTTAGTCCCTCTCCGACATGAAAGTGCTCCTCCTTTGCCATCCCATGCCTCTCTCATTTGCTTCCTGTTCGTGTTTCATCTTCTCTTATCCAAAGGTACATGGGTTTGTGATTTCTATGGTTTTTCTTCATTTTCTTCCAATATGCTTAGATTTTCTAGATTATGAGATTGATTTATTTAATATTGTGGATTGTTTTATTAGTTGATTTTTATTGTTTAAATTTCTCCTCATTTGTTGCCCATTTTAATATTGTGGGGTATCAAAAATTGCTAATGTTTGATGTTTTATTGACATGAGAATGATTGTAGATGATATGCTTAGCCTTATGATGATTATTAAGATGAAAATTAGTGATCAAAATGGGATATTTATAATGATTGTATTTTTCTATGAATTTTGACTGATTTATTTCAATAATTTTTAATTTAAATTCCATGCATTGTTTGATCAAAATAGTTTCATCATTCAAAACTACATATTGAAATGTACTAGTGTACCAATTTTCATTACAATTGGAGTTCATTTTACTGATGAAAACTGACGTGCGGTTTCTCTAAAAATCATTCCTATTTTATTGATATTTTTACATTTGGTAAAGAATGATTTGTTTTTGGCTTGAGACTGCTAATATAGGATATGTGTAACCTTAGAATGATCAATGAGACAAAAAACATTGATTCAAAATGAGTTTATAGTTTTTTTCTTTTTTCTATGATTTTTGAACGAATTTTATATATAATTTTATAATAATTAGAGTTAATTTGAAAATGCTATTTTGTGAGAATTTTGTTGGTTTTTGATTGTATATGGTTTGAATTAGTTTGTTGAGTGAGATGCCAAGATTAAAAAGAGGATTTTAGCTCGAGAAATAGTTTCTTTATGCCGTTATGCTGCCAAGTTTTTATCGACGGTTGAAAGAGTATGTGAATGCTCATGCATTGTGACACATGATTCATTAATTACTCTATATTATATCTAGAGTAGTCAATTTCTTTATTGATAATCTTTCTATCATTTCTTTCCTCTCCATATTTATTAGTCACTAATCACATTTCCTTGAATGAATTATCTTTTGGATTAAAAAGTTATAGATAAAGAATGGATGTCTTCTAATCGATTAAGTAAAGAATATTTGAATGGTGTGAAAGAGTTTATGAGGTTTTCTCTTGAGCATGTAAAAGACCCTAGAAGAATAGTGTGCCCTTGTGTAAGATGTGGTTTTTTGAAGAAAATCAGTGCATATGAGATGGAAGACCATTTAGTGTGCTGTGGAATTGATGAAAATTATAAGTGTTGGCATAAGCATGGAGAGACTAAAGAGGATGAGTCTTCTGGTAATTGGGAGTATAAAGAAAACTTTGAATCAAATGATCATGACACAGATACTTATAAGGATAACTATCTTGAAGAGATGGCCAATGCAATTGAAAGGGAACTTGAGGATTGTCCTAAAATATTACAGATGTTGAAAAGTAATGTAGATAAGCCCTTGTACGTTGGTTACACTGAATTTACAAAGTTGTCAGCTATGTTAAAATTGTATAACTTGAAAGTGAGCAATGGATGGAGTGATAAGAGCTTTACAGAAAATCTTACACTTATAAAACAACTTCTACCTACAAACAATGAGCTTCCAAGGACTATGTGTGAGGTGAAATAAATGCTACACTCAATTAGCATGAGTTATGAGAAAATACACGCCTGTCTTAATGATTGCATATTATTTAGAAATGAATATGAATCATTAATGGAGTGTCCAAAATGTAATGCCTTGCGCTACAAAGAGAATGGGAAGAGTTCAAAGAAGGCATTATGGTACTCATTATGGTACTTTCCCATTGTACCTAGATTTAGACAAATGTAAAGCAGTACAGAGGATGCAAAAATTTGACATGGCATATGGATGAACAGATCAAAGATGGGAAGCTTTGACATCCAACTAACTCTTCTCAATAGAAACAAATTAATCTCGATTACCCTAACTTTGGAGTAGAAGATAGAAACCTTCGCCTCATATTATGTACTAATAGAATGAATCCACACGGGCTTCAAAGTAACAGTCACAGTACATGACAAGTTATTTTGGTAATTTACAACTTACCTCTATAGTTATGTATGAAGTAAAAATATATGATGCTATCCATTCTAATTTTGGGGCCAAAACAGTTGAGAAATGACAGACATATATTTGGCTCCTTTAATTGAAGATTTAAAATTCTTATGGGAGCATGGTGTTGAGGTATATGATGGACATAGAGAGAAAAGGTTCAATTTAAGAGCATTGTTGTTTAGTACAATCAATGATTTTCCAGCATATGGTAATTTGTCAGGGTATAGTATCAAAGCAAAACTCAAATGTCCTATTTGTGAAGAGGGCACACATTCAGTGAGATTAGAACATGGGATGAAGAATGTCAATCTCAGATGTCATACATGGTTGCATCCTGATCATTATTATCGATGCCTAAAAAAAGCTTTCAATGGAAATTCAGAAGAAAGTAACGCACCCTTGCCACTGATAGGTGAGTAACATTTTAACAAGGTGAAAAATTTGAATATTGAGTTTGGAAAACCTCTTACAAAGCATCTTGGGACATGGGGGTGGAAGAAAAGGTCTATTTTTTTTTTGACCTACCATATTAGCAATCTTTATATGTGAGACATTTTCTTAATGTTATGTACATTGAGAAAAACGTGTGTGACAATTTGATTAGTATATTACTTCATATTCCAGGAAAGACCAAAGATGGCATCAAGGCAAGACTTGATATAATTTCTATAGGGATAAGGGAAGAGTTGGCTCCACAAGAGAAGGGAAGTCGCACATCTCTTCATGTAGTGGCTCATATATTGTCTAGAAAAGAAAAGAAGACTTTTTATGAGTCGCTTGCTACTGTTAAAGTTCCAGAGGGGTACTCTTCAAATATTAAGGGCCTTGTGTCATTGAAAGATTTGAAGTTAAAGGGTTTAAAATCACATGATTGCCATGTGTTGATGGAAAATTTTATTCCAGTGGCTATATGTTCTATTTTACCTGATATGATTCGAGCCATGATTACAAAATTGTGTTTCTTCTTTAAGTCTATACATAGTAAAGTGATTGACTTAACAAAATTTTCAAGATTGCAAAGCCAAATTGTGTTAATCTTATGTGAACTTGAAATGTATTTTTCACCTACATTCTTCGATATAATGGTGCACCTTACTATTCATCTAGTTAGAGAGATACCAATGTGTGGCCCAGTTTTCTTGAGATGGATGTATCCATTTGAGCATTACATGAAGACACTAAAAGGACATATGAAAAATTGGAGTCGACTTGAAGGTTGTATAGTTGAGTGATACATTTGTGAGGAGGCAGTTGAATTTTGTACTGAGTACTTATAAAATGTCAACCATATTAGTCTTCTGACTTCTCGACATGATAGTAGAATTGATGGAGAAGGAATTATGGGCAATAAAGTACTTACAATCTCCAACTTGCAATGGGAACGAGCACATTTATATGTACTACACAACTCTATAGAGGTTGAGGAGTATGTAGAGATGTACATGGTCGAGCTTAAGCGAGATAACCCTAATAGATCAGAGATTTGGTATGCAAACAAGCATAATAAGAGTTTTATAGTTTGGTTGAAACAATACATTCTTGAGAAGTTGACTGCCGATTTTGATTCAGTTTCTGAAAAATTAAAATGGTTGGTAAGAGGTCTAGATAAACAAGTTCTTTCCTTCACTGACTATCTCATTAATGGGTACATATTTTATACTAAAGAGCAAGAAAATTGGAGCACAATGCAAAATAGTGGTATAACTCTTATAGCGCAAGCAATGCATATATCTAGTACTAAAGACAAAAATTTCTTGTACGCAAAAATGTCATAGTTTGGGATAATTGAGCATATTTGGGAGTTAGATTACATCAAATTTCAAGTTCCAATTTTTGGTTGTAAGTGGATTGATCAAAAAAATAGTCTTAAAGTTGATGACTTGGGATTCTTAATGGTGGATCTTAATAGAGAAGGTTATAAAGATGAGCCTTTTATTTTAGCTTCACAAGCTCATCAAGTGTTTTTTATTCCTGATCCGGCTAAAGTAAATTAGTCTATTGTTTTATTTAGCAGTAAAATAAATGAAGATATGAATGATTCTACAGTTGAAGATGATCCCTTTATGGGAATATCATTTGAAAGTTACTCCATTGAAAATGAAGCCTTTTATATGAGAAATGATCACAATGAAGGTATTTGGATTTCAAAGAAAAGAGGTAAAAGCATTTGAGCAAAGAAGGAGAGCAAAGATAAGGAACATACAAGAAAAAGAAAAAGAACAATTTAAACCTATAGGTTACTTGTTTTGTGTGATTTAAAAATTTATTGTTATCTATTATGTGCTACATTTGTTTTGTGATGTGTGATTTACATTAAACCTGTAAATTACTCATTATGGTTTATTTTTTTATATTGTTATTTATTGTTTATTTTGTTTTTCTACTTTTGTAGGTAAATGGCTTCTCAAAGGAGTGTTGGTCTCAGTGGACCTAGTAGTGCTGATCTTAGTATTGAGATGAATGACTAGCAAATTTAGCAAGAAGCAAATCAAATAATGGATTGACATTGATGACTGAGGTGAATAGAAGAAGGGTTGCTGGATAGAGATATGAAGTTGAATGGAATTTCAAAGGTTAATCTATCAAGACCAACAGAAATAAATTCATAAGCTATATAACGGTTGTGCCAAAAGCAAATGTGCTGATTACAATTAGGCACTATAACGATGTTAGTCCAGCTACAAAAAATTATATTTGGGAGCAAGTAGAGGTAAAATACTTTACTCATATTGTTGTAGTTAATTGAAATTACTTAGATTTAATTAATTGTCTTTGTTTATAGTCAGCGTTTGCAATTGATACTAGTCAGATGAAATTTGTCATCTAACAAGCTGGAAAGGTAATGCGGACATTTTGGTATTTCGTGGAAGTGAAATACATTAAAAAATCAGGAGGAAACATTAGTGTTGAGATCCCCGAATTGATAATGCCATTAGTTTCATAAGAATAGTGGGATGATTTTGTTACTCAACATCTCAAGGGACAATTTCAAGTAAGAATAATGAGATGAATTAATTTTTTATTATTTTCGATATGTTTAATTTTATTGATATGATTTATATGTTTTGCACAGGAGTTGAGCCACAAAAAGAAAGAGTTGCATGAGAAAGATCTATACTCTTACAAGAAGGGGCACATAGGATATGCAAGAATTGAGCAATAAATGGTAAGTTAATATTTATACTATATAATTTTGGCTTATTTCAAGGATATATGTACTATACTCACATTTAAATTTACTTAAATTTGTAGATCAAGCAAGAGGCTTCAGGGGCAAGCTCAATTTTATGTCACAAACTCTTCATAGAAGGCTAAACCAATAAAGAAGGAAACATTGTTGATGAATGTGTTCAGGAGCTTACTAACAAGTGTGTAAGTACATTAACTTAACTTTACATTTTTTTATACTCAATCAACTAATTTAACTTTCTTACTATATATTGCACAGGTCGAGATTGAGAAAAGTGGCATGCCTGATGATGATGTCTTCGGCAAGGCATTGGGTAATCCTGAACACCCTGGTCGAGTTAAGGCATATGGCTTTGGTGTCTTGAAAAGACAAATATTCAGGTCATAAAAGAAAGCAAGGTCAACAGAGGATGTGGGTGTAAGGGCTGAGATTGCCACCCTGAAAGAGGAGCTATCTCGGCAATGGGACATGATTGTAGCTTTGCTAAAGGACAAGGAGAGGCAGGAAGCAAAGTTTCATATTAGTCCTAGCGGGAAAGGTAGTTATAATGTCATGCAGCCTATTAAAAATCTCCCTGAGGTAAAACATTATTAATTTATTTCACTTATGTTTTACTATTTCTATTTCCTATAACTTTGATATAGTATATTACTTATTAATATAAGGTGAGAACCTATGTGAGTTGTTAGCAAATAGCTCGAATCGTCATGTGGTTGCTATAGGTCGGGTGTTTAATTTGCCGGGAGACATATGTTAAATAATATGCCACTCCCTACATCCTATGTACGTGTTGCTATTGATGTGCTGAAGGATTTAAACTATCCGGTACCTATTCCCATCGAGGATGTAGGGATTGTTGGAGAGGTGATGGGTAGTTTTGTTAGATGGAAAGCTAGTTAATTTAGGATGCCAAGTCTAAAAAAAAAACTAGCAAAGATGCATAGTTAAAAAAAAAGATGATATCCCGATCTAAGCTCTCCTCGCCAAGCCAACACAGAAATTTGCTCCAGGCATATGCAATAGTTCATAGGTCTAATCCTCTAGCCTTGCAAATACCGTTCAAGGTTAGTATATATGGCAAAAACTGATATGATATGCTTTCGCTTGATGTTGTTGATGAAGTGCTTCAACATGATATGACCAGTCTCACAGTTCTCAGCTTCTACATATGGTAATTTTTTTTCATATATGAATAATTAATATTTTAAATATAAACTAATTCATGTATTTAAAATAGGTGCTTGTATGACAAATTTGTTGTCCCTTTCGATCTACAAATGAAGTTCGTCTTCGTTAGTGTTCATGAAGTGGGTGCACATGTCTTAATTAAAAGTGATAAAATTTTAGAACAAGCAAAGGCATTAAGCAAAAATTTCAAAGCAAGGGCTCGGAAGGGAACATTATTCATAATACCATACTCTCAAGGGTAACGAAATTCTCACTTATCTTAATAATTTTTTTATTTTTAATTTAATGGATTAATTATAATTTTGCAACACTTGTTAATACTATTAGGGACCATTGGATGTTGATCGCTGCTGAACCATTCGACAACACTTTAAAGATATATTATCTCGATTCTCTCAGAGGGGAACCAGGGAGGAGACAAATTTTATTGGAGTTGATTAATATGTAAGTGCATAAAGTATTTTACATATTTATTTAATTATTTAAATTTCATACTAACATATTTTTTACTATTTCATTAGGGCGATTGTGTTATACCGCACTAACACAAAACAATTAATTCCAAGGTCCTTTACAAATTTTGATGCGGCCTACATTTGAAATATAATTAAGGTAATTGAAATCATTTATTAAATTAAAATTTAATGTATTAATACATATTCATCAATTCTTTAATTTTTAGTGTCCAAGACAAAAAAAAAATAGCTTGGATTGTATTGCATCATGAGGTTCATGAAGGACATCATTATCATAACGAGAGCATAATTTTTGAGATGGTATGTCAAAAATATTAGCTTTTAAATTACAAAAATATTTAATGTATTAAACTTATATTAATATATGGTGGATCATTTATATATTGCAGTATTATGATGACTCTTATGTTGAAAAATTTGGGGATGCAGAAATAAATGAGATAATTGAAGAATGGTGTCAATACATTTTTTAAGTGTGGACCTCATACAAAGAAGATCAATAGAACTACTTTGAAGAAGTAGCTAGGAAGTTTTTTTTTTTAATACGTAGTTTATTTTTGGAAATGGTTTACTTTTTGTAATTACATTTGTTTATTGATTAATTTTAAAATTGAATACAATAAATTTCGTTGATATTCAAATCTGGAATAGTTGGCTGCTGCTATTTTGATTTCTTTTTTGCAGGGGGCTGGTATAAAAATAGCTCATGTGTTAAAAAAACTGCATAAAAAATGATGGGTATCTTATTTACCTGTCATTTAAAGTATGGTGCAAATTTTTACCATACTTTAAATGACGGGTAAATAAGATACCTATCATTTAAAGGCAATATAAATGACGGGTAAATTACTTACCTGTAATTTACCCATTATTTATATTCTCATTTCACTTGTCCTTCTGCAAAAAATTTTATTTTAAATGACGGTTTTATAACCATCATTTATTAATGGTCTTTAAATATCAGCCGAATAAATGATGCATATTAATCTTCATTTATGGAATAAAACAATTGTCATTTATTCCCTTTTTTATAGTAATGCCGGTACAGTAACATTCTAACAATCATTAATAAAAAAATCGAGACATAATTCTAACAAACACCAATTTCAACTAAATATTAATTTTCAAATAAGTCATATGAATCATCAATCTTATTAAAATAAATAAATATAATAATAATAATTTATAACTATTGTCCAATATAAACACCAAGCAAGTGTAGCATCATTTTAGAGTTTGATTCCTAGAGGTGTGTATGGTAAGCATCTTTTGGGAGATGACAACTCCTTAAATGGCATTCAAGTTCTTTGAAGGATTAGTCTCATGATTGCTGATCATGGAGATACCTTGAGAAACCAAAATAATAATAATAATAATATACAAAAGAAATTTACTCATTTTTTTCAGTAATTAACTTTTTATAATATTCTGAGATAATAATTAACAATTAGTTGAGCAGAGTAATGACCAATAAAATAATAAATAAAAAATTTTCTTAGGTTATGCATAATGTTTAATCAATTACCAAACAATAATGGAAATTAAAATTGCCTTTGATTTCTTTAGAGGTTAAATAATTTATATATAAAAGTAATTTGATCAAGATATCATTGAAAGCCAACACGTTTTCCCCCAAAATTTTATGTTATACCCACAAACCATCAAGCCCCTTTCCCCACCATCTATCTTGGTCATTCTTCAATTCTTCCAAGAAGGGGGGGGAGAATTTGACAGCATTTTCTTGTATGATTAAAAAATGATATGATAATGTTTGATCCATGGATCCTACTAATCGCACTTGTTTAAAGTCTCAACTTAACTCCTTGAAGGTTCCTAACACTTTAGGTTGCATATGACGCGTATTGCTATTATAAAAGGCAGTAGTGCCAACAAAGATTGGTCCATTTGACAAGGATTTGGCTTATAAATTTAAGGGATCAAATTCAATTGCCGAAGTGAGGATCTTGTTGCTAATTAATTTGCATGCACCTTTGTAAGCGCCTTTTAAGCCTAAAGGTATACCTGGCCCTAGTGAGCCCTGAGTCTCAACTCATCTAACCTTTCATTCATAAAAAAATAATACAGGGTGAGAATAAAGTTTTGAAATTAAAAAAATGCAAAAAACAAAAAGTTGAAAAGAGACCCAGTAAAAGCAACAACGTGCCCCCACAGATTAAGAAAGTTTTGATCCCCAATTAAGTAATTAAAGATTTTAAATCAAGAAGCAACTAATAATGCATAGGAGTTAGGATGCTTTGCGGAAGGCTCATAATGCAATTCAATTATTGTTCTCGATTTTTCCCCCCAAGAAAAGAAAAATTCATCAACCCACCAAATTAAGTTACAGTATATGAACAATAAACCAGAAAAAAGTAAGTTTAGTGATTAGGGTTTTGAAAACCAAATCCAAACAGGCACAATCCCTTTAACAAATTCTTAAGTGCTCCAATAATGCTAGCTAAGTAACAAGTTCAGAAGGACATTAATTTGTATCCCGCCTTCTCTACTTTTTAAAAAGCAATATTAAAAATTAATTGGCTAGATCATATGTTTGAAAATTCTATGGCTTAAAGGACATTTGTGTGCTTTAAACTATTTCTAATGACTTTTTTATTCATCTAATGACTAAAGTCAACTTTTGTTGTTAGTAGGGCAACATTACTTTATTTTCAAAGTACTTACATGAGAATTTTGTTAGTGAGTGATTTAATGTATGTAAGCGCTCTTAGATAAATCCCTGGAACCCAATTCTGAATTAGTTTTGAATAAACAAAAGTTTAGATAATGTCATAATGGTCATTTTTTTGTCTAGGCGGACACATAATGTCAAGGTCTAAGTCAATCCATATGCATCGAGAAAATGATACATTAATAAAAGTAGTGGAATAAAAATAATTTTTATATATTTACGTCTTTTTATTTTGAAAATTAATGTTGCGCAAACAAAACGGCAAAATCATAGAAGTCTAGGCTTTTTTAGTCGGTGTCCGCATTTCTTCTTGAGTCAAACCTACTTAAGTACTCATATCCTGGAGAAAATGACACAATAATGTGGTTTTGTTTTTGGTCCTAAAGTAGATCCTATGTTGGAAATTGAATAGTCTGTGTATATGAATTTTGTTGTGTAAAAATATTTAAAATATGATTTATAAAGGGAGTATAGTAAGTTATGTAAACAATAACCATCATTAAAATAATAATAATAATAATAATAATAATAATAATAATAGATTTTCCAATTCCCATGCATATGTGAATGTATTTAAGAGTGCAAACACTTTGGTTCTATTCTTATCGTCTCAGCTATCCTAAGATAATTTTTTTTTTTAATCTATGCGTGTGTAGAGAAAATGGCACAATAATAGAATCAGATGAATAAAAATGATATATATATATATATATATATAAGTCATTTCACTTTGAAATTTAAACATTAAGTTCGCGTAAAGGAAACGACAAATAATAATAGAAATCTTTCTATTCTCAACCCATTATTGAAACCAACATGGAAAAGAAGTCATTAATGGTGACAAACTATCTTTTTAGTCGGTATCCACATTTTTCTTTGTTCAAGCCTACTCTAGTACCATATCTTGGAAAAAAATGACACAATAATATACTTTAATAAATTTCGCGTATGTTTGTATTTGTGCGTATTGTATGGAAAACAATTAAATCTTTAATAATCTCTATACTTTTAGCGAGATTTAATTGAGATCCTTGTTTATAGTTCAAACTATTAGAATGCAACCTAAAGTTTGTACTGTCATATCATTAATCCCTACCCAATCACTATATAAAAAACTATGAAAATAACTAAATTAGTTTGTTTTCGTTAGTGATATGCAGATTAGCATATAGTTTTTGACATTAATAATTTATTTTTCTGTGACAAACAAAAAAATGAGACCCAAAATGTAGATCTTGTTTGATTTTGTTCCCTTTTTTGTTTTTAAAAACTATCTTGTAAATTAAATTTTAAAAATTATTTTTGAAACCAAAAATTATGTAAACTAGAAAATAATTTGAGTTAAAAAATCGGAAGATAATGGTGGTCACTAATGGGTAACGATAGTAGTTAACTATAACTGATAGTAGCATTCAGCAATCAATTATGATGTGCTGTAAACATAAAAAAGAAAACAAAAACAATTCTAAGATCTTTTATTAAATAAAAAAAAAAAAAGATGAGAACAGTTTTGCAAACATTTAAATCTAAAACACTTATCCAAACCAATTGTTTTTATATTTTTATTTTAAAAGCAGTTTTTAAAGATAGAAATCAAACAAGCCATTAATTTTTTTTTTATATAAATTTATTTGAAGTAGGGAGAGAACAAATCGAAGTGCTCAAGAGTTAAGTCCAAAGGAAAAAGTAGTTGACGCAATCCAAATGGTTCACATATTTTTTTCTTCTTAAATTTTCCAATTATTTTAACAATTTCTTATTCTTATATATCAATATATTATATAAGATATTAAAATAACATTTTCCTTCGATTAATATCTCCCTATCAAATTCATTTTTTATTTCCAATATCAAATGGACATAATCTCCAACAAATTGAAGAATATGCCAATAATGTCTCTTCATTTTCTAACTTCTTTGCAGGCCCCACCATCTTAGATTAATTATAACTAGTGGCCACTGATTGATACAAAAGTAGACGAGGGATATTACTTGAGCCGAGAAATTTCTACCATTAACATCATAATCAACAGTTTTAGTTTAAATGCATATAATTAATCATCCGTCCTATTTAAAAGTTGTGCTTATGAATTCCTAAGCGCGTGTATATATAGTACAACCTTCTCCTCCAACCACTTCATCAATCTAAGAAGCCCTCAACCTATCCAACATGGCAAATCTTTGTTTTCATTTCCCCTTTCTCTTGTTTTCCCTACTTTGTTTTCATTTCACTTTATGCTTCACCAATTTCACTACGTATGATGAATTGGCACTACTTGCTTTGAAGTTTTCTGTTAAGGACCCTTACAATTACTTGGCTAATTGGTCCAACTCTTCTTCCATTTGCAATTGGGTTGGGGTTACGTGTGATGCTTACCATGAGAGAGTAATAGCCTTGAATCTTGGTGAGATGGGTCTCAAGGGAACTTTGCCCTCAAAAATTGGGAATTTGTCTTTCTTGGTTGAACTTGACCTTCATAGTAACAACCTTTATGGTGAGTTGCCAAAAGAGTTGATCCAATTACACAAGCTACAAATTCTCAACTTGAGCTACAATGAATTCAAGGGAGAAATTCCTACTTGGATTGGAAGCTTATCCATGCTTCAACACTTCCATCTCTGTAACAACAGTTTTGGAGGTGTTATTCCTAAAAGCATATCCAATTTGTCAAAGTTAGAGACTTTGAACTGGAATGATAACTTTATTGAAGGATTCATTCCATTTGAGATTGGAAAATTTCAATGTTTGAAGATTTTACGGATTGCGGTAAACAAGCTTTCAGGAAAAATACCTCCAACTATTTCCAACTTATCCTCACTTGAGTTGTTGTCTTTGTCTCACAACTTCTTAACAGGTATGTCTTGCACAATGTGTTATTAGCATTTCTTCTATTTTACAATGACATAAATTTATTTTTCTATTTGGAAATCCTTTTGCTTAATTTTAATGTGGATTTATGTGAGCCTTATTATCAAGCTCAGTTGATCTTCTTTAATTTGTTGTAAAATGTTCACTTATATTTGTTGGAATAAATTCATCAACAAACTTTTGTTAATTATCATTTTACATAACCCTCCTAGCTTCACGAGTATTCAAATTATCAACGTTAGCACATTTTTTGCATTTCATGAAATCAGCTTTGGATCAGTATACACTTCCTACATATTAAAATTAACTTCACCTAAGCAAAATAGTACGTTTGATAATTATTTTACCATTAACTTTTTATGATATATTGGTGATAATCAAATATTCTTATTTCAGAAAGATAAATTGGTCAAATGTTCTTTGAAATCCTCTTTTAGTTAGATAGACAATTTTATATTTTTAAGTTATATATTTTCAGAATTCTTTTTGCAGTTACCTCATGAATTATTACTTATATAATACAACCTACTTTTTATAACATTACAAATTTGTGTCAGAAATTTGCATGTGCTTGTTGTAGGGCATGTCTTAAGCATTCTTTTGTTTGTTGCCAAATCCGATTTTATGAAGAAAATCATGAGAAATTACTATCGAGAATGATGAATCTGATTGTGAAAAAGTTATTAAAAGTTTTAGATCATCATGATGGAGGAAAAATCTTCAAATGATTTCTGTGACTTTTTCCCTGTGCTATAAGCTGCATCGGTATTTATAATTGTGTACTCAATAGGTATGATTATAAATTTGTGTATTCGTGTAAAAAAAAAAAAAAGATCTGAAACAACTCAAATTGTCAATTCGACCGTCAATATCTCATTATTTTTAATGTTATAAAAATCATTGATTTTCTCTTTTTTTTTATTAATAGAATGTCTATTTTTTAGAACTAATTTGAGCTTCCATAGTCTGATTTCTTCTGTATAGCATGTACCCATAATATATTTTAAGGTTTCTATGCTCTTAAAAATTATTATATTGGGCACCAGTTGTTTAAATATATGCATATAACTAACTATTAAATTCTATCTAATTTCTGACCAAGCGCTTTTTTTTTATTTTTTTTTATTTTTATGTCATGTAGGAGGTGCTGTTTGAGTTATTTTTGGTGTGTCCCTTAGGCGCACTGTTCTTTCTTTTGTTTATTTATTTACTAAGCATGACTTTTTTTAGTATGGGGAGGAAGTTATATTTTTTTCATAACATTAAATTATAAAATAACATTAATCTTTTCATTTGTTTTTATGCTCTTCTAACATTTCAATAAATAATTATAGTTTAGACATTGAATAACACGCATTTGATACTTTACTAATAAAATAAGACATTAACTATCATAAGTTCCTCTGTACATGTAATTAGTTTAGTCAGATTCAAATAAATTTACACAAAAGGCCTAAAGATACTGGTCCACAACAAAAATAATAAGGCACCTTCAGGAACAACTAATGTTATATTCCAAGAGATATTTGAGAATATTGAAATAGATTATGGTTATTTTTTGTTTCATACCTTATACAAAATTAATTATGATTATCCCATTCTCATTTATCATTTATTCAATGGGTTGCAAATAAATGCAATCCAACTAAATACTGCACTTAGTGAAAAAATAATAATAATAACACACGAACGTTATTAATTTCAAATGCATAGTATGTAACAACAACAATGCTCTATAGTATAGTTTATTATACAAGAAAGTAACTTTGAAGACATGCATAAACTAATGATGTACAAGCAGGACACAAGTTCAAATAATGAACTAATATTGTCTCACTATTTCCCTCAATTTGGGTGCTGAAAGTGTTTTGACTAATTTTATTCGTCTCAATAATTAATCTACTGTAGCCTCATTTAATCATAGTATATATGATGAAAAATATCTTCCTTTCTTAATATATTTGGCCCTATTATATTGCAAAGACTTGGGACAAAACTCTTCGCATATGAGGATTCGATTGGTCACACTAAACACAGTTCAAACTAATGGATACATATCAAGATACATCAATTTCCTATTTCCTTCTTTTTCCTATTGGGTTCAAGAGCTTTGTCTTCTTTATTGCTTATTTTTATTTTATTATGATATTTTTAGTATACAAGGACTCTAACAAAAAAAAATCAGTCTATTTTAGCAGACCTTGCAGGATTAATTTATTGCAAAAGACAATAGTCAAATTTGAAACTAATAAAAGTATCATAGTTCTATCAAAAATTGTTTACTACAATTTAAGATCAACTATTTTTTGAATTTTCAAAGTTGGTCTCTTTATGCTCATACTTTACGGTCTAATAGCATCTCTTACAATTTTTTCAATGACCACATCCTAGTAGATATTCTCAATATAATTAGTAATTTGGCAAATCTGAACATAATATTAAGTGATAATCAGCTTTGCAATTGCACACCAAAAGCGATTGAAAATTTGATTATGCCTCAAGGGTTCGAACGTCAAGGCAATGACTAATTATTAATTTTGTTGATAACTCTAAACATTATTATTTGATTGTATGATATAATTAGGATAATTAAATCTATTTATTTACGATAGATAAATTAATCAAATTTATTTCTGTGTTGTATTTCTTTGAGCTTTGTTATACCTTATTGTGTCACGAGCTGCTATATAAATGATAAATATTTCACATCATGACATTAAAAAGCTTATTCTAAATATGCATGAGAGAGAGAGAGAGAGAGAGTTTTTTATATATAAAGTAAGAAAATTTATTTCATTTTGAAAGCTTCTTATTTTTTTTAGGAATTATAAAAGTTTTTATTAGCTAATTTTTTTATTATTTACCTTTTTCTCTAAACTTAATTGTTTTTACAAAGACCTCAAAGCAATTTTAATAAAAAATTAATTAGTTGACCCATATAGTTCCATCCAGTTTGTGACTTTTTTTTTTTATAATTTAAATCGTCTTGGCTCAGTTCTTATACTTTCTTTTGTCTTCTCCATTCATCCCTACTTTTCGAAAAGTAACTAAGTCCTCAGTAACTCATCCTATGTGGCACCTATGGTTTGCATTTTTTATACGAAAGACTTAATCCGATCAATAGCAAGAGCGCTATGGGACTGATGATTTTTCTCCCTTCTTTCTTTCCTTGGGCCAACAATTTGTTGTGCTAAAGGAAACCCCCCTACTCTCACCGAAGAAAGAGGTAGTTAACAGTGTTGCATTGCTTAGTTGACAGTCTTATTATTAGTGCCACATTAGATAAAATAAAACGAGAATGATATTCTATTAAAAAATGTAAACTAAATAAATATTGCTAGCCAAAGACAAAATACGAAAGGCAAATTAGACACCGGAACCTATTTGCTTCCTATAATTATTTTGGTCATTTTCTGTAATTATCTACGTCTTTTTTTTTTGATAATTTTTAGGTCATTTTGTATAATGTTTTTAGTCAATTAATGATTAAATTAACAAATATTTAATGGCGTAATGACATTGCTTCACTTTTAAAGTATGGAGGCAACGTTGAGCCCCCTTGATTTGAGGGTGTCCAATGAGTACCTAAAATAATTGAGGGTAAATTAGCACTCTAACTCTTCAAAAAACACAGCACATTGATTAGCACTAAAAACTTGTCAACAACAACTTCTCTCTGTCTCTCTCTTTGCTTCCTTTGTTTGGGATGTTAGATTTTTTTTTTTTAATGAAGGGATGCCATTTTAAATAATGAACAATAGATAATATATGGCTTTGCAGATAATTAATTTTGTGCACAAACAATATATATTTTCAAATAGCATATTATTGTACATTTTTTATTAAACTACATCACTACTCTTGATGTCTAGGCCAAAGTCAATCAGTCAAATTGAAAACTAGCTCTTAGTTTTTATTAAACCGATAAAACTCCATACCCCAGACACAAATAAAGTCACCAAAAGTAGTCAAAGACTAGTAAATCAGTAAACAATCAGTAAAATTAGTAAAATCCTGACCAGTTCCCATAAAAAAAACAGATAAAAATAAAAAATGCATCTTAACTTCTTTTTTTAAAAAAAAGGTGCAACTGTAAATTTTTTGAAACTTAGGGCCAAGAGCTGCGATTTTCTTAAAACCTTCTCAACCCCACATGCGAACCCAGCTTCTTGATTGACTTACCACCTAATTCTTTCAGACGATCAATGTAGGACTTTTACCAATCACTTTTTCTATTATTATCCCTGTCCAGAGGCATCTGAGATTCACTTCTTTTTTTTCTCTTCGATCTTCACTAATTTTTTGGCTACATTCATAAAATCTATTAAATCTAGGTAATATCAAGTGTTTATTTATATTTTTCCTTAGATTCAATCTTCTAAGTTTAGGTTTTATATAATTTGTAAAACTACTTCATGCATTGTCATTTTTTATATATATATATAATAAGTATGGACTCATGAATATTACACATATTTGTACTAACTGTGGTATATTATAAGATTATGTGCTAAACTAAATAGAGGGGAACTTATTACTCATTATTTTCTTTTTAATTTATTTATTTTTATTCTTTTATAAATTCACAGTTTTTCATTTTAATGGCAACTAGTCTAACCACGATTCAATCAATAAACTGTGAATCAGTACCTCAATCAAGTTAATGACTGGTCTAGTTTTTAAAACTTTGCTCTCCTATAACATGGTATAATGAAATATATACAACAACAACAATAATAACCTACAAGTCTTGTATCACTAGGAGGGGTTGCCATTGTACAACTTAACAATGTTATTTTTAAAAGACAAATTAATAAAATATCCTTCAATATTTCAACAGGTATAGTCTTTTAGATGTCATAATTTTACTGAACAATTGTTTAATTAAGGACATTGAATATAGTTAAAAAATTCAGGGTAAGTGCAAAATTTAAATGAAAGTTTATCTTTTTCTTTTTATTTCTTCGACATTTACCTATCTATATATTTATATACTATATATTGTGTAAAATTAAAGGTCAATGCAATGTGTTTGCCTTGTAATTCGTGTTATGATTTGTTAAGATATTTAATCGTATTGAACAGTGTGGTTTCGTTGTTTTGATGTCTGATATTTAATTTTTTTTTTCCAGTGCAAGTTATGGGATGGATTTGTATGTAGTTATTGTAAATTTGATTAGGCATATGTCTAAAATTAAAGCCAAAGGTTCCATTTTGATTTCATGTATTCCTCAATAATCTCATAAAGTTATATTGTATCATTTTAATATATTGTCTGAAACTTTAAAATTACAAAATCATCTCATATAATTGGATTTAATTTTTTTTACATAACCAGATGCAGTGGAAACTTGATTTTTCTTAATTAAAAAAAATTAGATCTTGGTCACATTAATTTACAAGGTGTATGTGATTTAGATATACTCTAGATTAATATTTTGGTACCATCCATCATCTTTTCCTTTGTCTTTTGTAACTTTGATAATTATGAACTTATGCTAACAGCTTTCCGGTCAAAATACAATTAATTATTTGTAATATTAAAGTTGGAACATATTCACTCGAGTGACAGTGCTAATATCTATATCAATGTTAAAATATAAAGTGTTCATTTCAATTGTTCACTTAGGATTATTATCCAGAATCTCAAATGGAAAATATAAAGCTTCATGTCTTATAATTTTATGAAGGTTAAAAAATATACTAGTGCTATGTGTAAAATTAAACTATTTTTTTGGGGTAAAATTGAGCTTTATTTCTATATAATCTTTTTGTTTGGGATTAACTCTTCAGCTTATGTTCATTTAACATGGGACTGATGTGATTAGATTGTTATTAGTTCTGCAAGTAAATAATATAATAAAAAGTAATTGGTTGATGGTGTTAAAAAATATCAAATTTATGGACGAGTGTCAGCAGAAGTGGGAAGTGTTACTACCACGTTGTTTGTATTATACATAATCACACACAGTTATGATAACTCTACTAATTAATTATTACACTATGAATTAACGATATGTTTAATATATGTGATAATTAAGGGTCTGTTTAAGTTTTTCAAAAAGCTATTTGAAGTAGCTTTTTCAACTTTTGCAGTGAGTTTTACTCTTCCCTCTTTGCCTTTTGTCCATTTCTCTCTCCTCACTTTTCACTTCTATGCTTCGTCTTCTTTTGGGATGGGGAGGAATCAAAATCTTGGGAAGATATTAAAACAATTATTTTCTATTCTCCCACTTTTATCATTTTTGCCTGCATTTTATTAAATACACATTAAAATAATTATTGTGATACATTTTATTTTAATATTTAAAAAACGGAGAATACTATAATACATGATATTAATTAATTATAAGCACAAAAATAATTGTGTTATATGAAAAAAACTTTTACATATTTATATATTTAAAGGGCTTATTCCTAATTAAATTGATACATGTGGAGCTCTTTATAATTTAATATTTTATAATTTATCAACTTATTTTATTTTTTAGAATTTAATGTTTAGTAATTTATTAATTTACTTTATATTTTTATAGTTTATAAATAATAGTTAAGTGTATATAGACTCCTTTTGTAAAATTGTAATTTAAAGGTTAATATTTTTTCTTAAAATAAAATTCTTGTCTTTTTCAGTCATTATACAGCTAAAGTTGCTTTGGAATTTTATCATTCAAACAAGTTTTTGTTGGTTAAATTGACTTTTAAGAAAAATGTATCCTAACATAAATTAGTTAATGTCGCTCATTTTTACCCTAAGTTTAGCTATTTGCAGACCTCAATATATTCTAAATTTCTAATTTTAATTTTACAATTTCTAATCCAAACACACCCTAATTATTATTATTATATATCACATCTCCTTGTTTAATTCTATATCTTATATCTTATTTATTTTCCTTTTCCTTTATCAATTTGCAGGAGACATTCCGATAGAGATTGGCCTTCTTCAAAATCTAAAAATTCTATATTTGGGTGCTAATAAGCTTTCTGGCCACATACCATCAAATATCTTCAATATATCAGAGTTGCAAGAAATTGATTTAAGCTGGAATAATTTGTCAGGAAGTATTCACTCTAATATGTGTCATGGACTTCCAAATTTACAAATGCTACATCTTCAGGACAATGAATTATCAGGAGCCCTGCCATCTAATTGGATACAATGCAAAGAGCTCAAAGACTTACAATTAGAATACAACTCTTTGATAGGTATGTGCTATCCCACTATCTCAAATCTTCTACTTTAATTTCATTGCTAATATATTTTAATTGTATTTTAATGATTTTTGATTGGTAAGACAATAAAAATAGAAAAACTTTATTTTCATTTTAATTTAGGAAAGTTTAATTCTCTAGTGCCTATATTTTATTTTTTTAATCAAGCCATCATTGTTTGATCAATTAGGCATGTTAATCCTTGAGGTTAAAATTATTAATGAATGATTGATATCACAAAGCTTTTGAGTATAGAAGTGCAGAATTCCAATTAGGTCTCTTATACGGACATTTTCATTTAATTGCAAAGGACTTTGGTTAAATCAAAAATCAAGTTTATTTACTAAACTACAATTCAAATAAAGGAAGGTATTTTATTAAAAAAGGCGAGTATTTCAGTAATTTTGTTTTATTTTTAATTTATAAAAATTTCTTGGGATTTAAATGAAAATTTTCTAATTTAAAATCTAAGTGAATTCAGGCATTGTTTTTCACTTAATCCAAAACTCGTTTATCTCAACTTTTATTTTCTCTTATTTTCGATTTAGACTTATTACTCCATTGTAATTCAAAAATTTAATACTTTAAATTTCAAATATAATATTTTTAAATAATAGTTTAAAAATAATATATATTTAAATAGTTAAGTATAGATGGTTTTCATTTAGGATTGAAACTATTTTTATAAGTTTTTAAAATTAATTTTAAAATTTAAAATATTTATAAATTTGGATTTTTATTTAAATTTATTTTAAAATTTAAATAAAAATATATTATATTGATTCGATTTGGTAAAACTTATGATATATTATTAGGATAAAACACAAAAAAATCCCTAAACTTTGACGAAATTGTAGATGATCTGTCTCACCTTTAAACTTTTAAAGCTAATCCCCCAACTTTTAATCTTTCTTTTCAAAACCCTTACCGTTAATTAACTATATTATGTTATTAATGGAATTTGTCATGTCAGATTAATGCAATACACATGGCACATAACATGCAAAAGAATATTTTAATTATTTTTTAAGAAAATTTGAGGAGGGCCAAAATTGTAAGTTTTACTTTTAACACAGGCGAATATCTAAAAAAAAAATATACAAAAGCTATTATTGATTGACAAATAATATCTAAATTATAGTTTAATATAAAAGGCTGTTTGTTTAAATTGATGAAGAATAATTAAATTATAACTTTTCTCTTAAATTGTGTTCATCGTGAACAATAAGAATAATGTCTCTCAACTAAAAAAAATGAGAGCATTGTCATGTGTGTCAAAAGTAAAAAGAAAAAAAATACAATTTTAATACTACATAACAGAGTTAAAAATAATAAAAATGATTTATCATATATGGACACTCGCATCATTAAGCCATTTTTCTTGTATCTTTATCATATATTGGTACTACAATTTTTCTTGCTAGTTGTTTTCTCACATTACCATGAACTATAATGCATTTTCTCTTCCTATTATTCCTTTTGCTTATAAATTTTTTTTTGCATGAATTTTTCTTTTCCAACATTTCTTTATGCATAAAGATAAGTCTTTAATATAGGTTGGCCAAAAGAAGTCTTTAGTTATTTTTAATTTTATTGATACATATTAGGACGTCTTGTTATCTAATCTAATAAAAAAAAGCAATGCATTTCCGGTCAAAATATAGTTAATTAATATATTAAAGGGGATTTACATTTACTGAGTGATAATATTAATATAGACATCAGTTTAAAAATATGATGTCCCCATCTCACTTGTTCCCTTTAAATTGTAAACTAGAAATAAAAAATGGAAATTACAAAACTGCAGTTCTCATAGTTTTACCAAAATTTAATTTTAATATGACATTAAATGCTATCATTATATATTGCCATTGTGCATAAATTTTTTTTTCTATAAAATCATTTTTTATGAGATTGATTATTTAGTTCACGTTCATTATATATATAGTAGGACTTAAAACAATGTTCCCTTACAAAAACTTGGAGCATTATATTAGTTTAATGCCCGTGAATGCTTGAGATATCTCTAAAATCCTTTTTTCCCACAATTGTTTTTCATGGGATATCCAAAATAATTTAAAACCCAACTGAAGTTCCCCACATGTGCTTGTGTGTGATGAATGTATATAAGAAATTACATTTGATAACTACTCTTAGAAGCCATAAGTTTTGAAGGATGATTCCTTGAAAATAAAATGTTAATCATTTCAGCGATGATGCACAAAAGAAAAATTGATAATCAAAATCGAGAGAAATGTTATTAGATAATTGATGGTATATAATAATATAAAGCTTATAAATTCCTTGTTGGTGGGTGATCTGTAAATGTATTTGTAAGTAATTTTTGAGCCTTAAGGCTTGTCCTAGCCTAGTGAGCCTCCCAAACCCAACTCACATAAACTTTCTAGAAGCAAATATAAAACTTATACATACAAATATATAAAAATAAAACATTAACAACATATTAACTTGGGAAAGTGACAATAAAATCCCACTAAAATAATAAATGACAATCAGATCTCTCAAAATGCCATAATTCTTTCGAAGTCTCTGGGTACCTTTCTGACACTAATGATTGTAGGTTAGATGAATAATTTGCCACTTGTTTAAAATAAAAATAACAGGTTTGGCTCTATTTTTTTTAATCACAACTTCTGTTTAGCTATGAAAAATTTAATAACTCTATATGATATAAATTTTGGTGGTAATGAAATCTATTTAGCTATTTACGAAGTAAAAGAAAAATAATTTTTTATGGGTAAGTCAGTTGCATATATCCAAAAACACTTTTCTTTTGTGTTGGTGATTTTTTTGAAGATTTGTATTTCCAACTTCGTGCCCTTCTTCAGGGGCATTCAAATTATTAAAGTTAGCTCATTTTGTGCATTGATGAAAACAGTTTTGCAAAAGTTTGCTTCCTTGTCCAAATGAATTTCCCCTGAGAAAATTAATGTTTGGTAATTCTGTAACTGTTATTTTTCAATGGCATATTGATCATAATAAAATTTTTTAAATTTGGTTAAGATAAAATAATCCAATGTTCTTTGTAATCCTCTTTTAGCTAGCTAGACAATTTGTCATTTTAGAGAATTTATAGAATTTCTTTTGTAGTTACATTAAAACCATGTAAAATTGTTCAAACAATTATTGCACAATATATTGCGTATAATTTGCATGTGTTGTTAGATTTGGTAAAAATGATTCACCATCTTTCTTGTTTCTTTATAACATGCGTGGAAAATATTCTCAATAGATATACCTGTGACCAATTCAAATTCTATATCTTTAAGCATTAACTTTTTTTTTTTGTAGGTGATATACCAGAAGGTATTGGAAAACTGGATATGCTTCAAGAGCTATATCTTAATCATAATAATTTACAAGGTAATTTTTTCATCAAATTATAATATTCTGGCTACTGTAGTTTTTCTTTCTTTCTTTAGTTGTTTTCTCAGTATTACAATGAACAACCATGCATTTTCTTTTCCTACTTTTGCTTTTTCAAAATAAATTTGTGTATGAGTGAAATTTTCTTTTCTAACAATTCTTTAAACATGAAAATAAGTCTTTATTAATTTCGGTTGGCCAAAAAAATTTCTTTTCCAATAAATTTAGAAATGCTGGTTAGGATATCTGGTGGAACATTTTGTTTGTTTGGAAGAGACGAAGCTCCACTTGGAGCGAGGAAAAAGGATTTGCAATAAAAATTTGTCCTCTAATCTAATTAAAAAAATGCATTTCTGGTCAAAATACAGTTAATTAATATATTAGAGTTTATATACATTTACTGAGTGATAATATTAATATAAACATTAATATTCAAATATGACGTCTCCATCTCACTTTTTCCCTTTAAATTGTAAAATAGAAATAAAAAAAAATGGAAATACAGAACTGCGGTTCTAATAGTTTTACCAGTTTGAATTTTAATACGACATTAACTGCTGTCATTTTATATTGTCATTGTGCATAAAATTTTGTTTCTATAAAATCATTTTGTATGAGATTAATTAGTTAGTTCACTTTCATTATATATATATATATATATACTGTAGGTGTTAAAGAGATGTTCCCTTACAAAAACTTGGCGGATTAGTTTATTGTTGTGGCATTTTATTAGTAGCTAGAGGACCGTGATACACGCAAATGCCTGAGATATCTCTACAATCCTTTTTACCCACAGTTGTTTTTTATGGGATTTCCAAAATGATTAAAAACCCAAGTGAAGTTCCCCACATGTGTATTAATGTGTGCTTGTATGTGATGAATGTATATATGGAATTACATTTGATAACATCTCTTAGAAGCCCTGAGTTCTGAAGGAATATTCCTTGAATTTCATTTTACGAGACAAAAAAAGTACTACCTCTGTCCCAATTTATGAGACATTTTTAGACAAGATCTTACATATCAAACAAGTTCATTAAATATATTTTACAACCTTAATTTTTTAGGACAAAAATATAAACTTTTAAAAATATCATTCATTTAATACTATATTTGTTAAAGAATATTAAAGAAAGAGAATATATAGGAAGGATAATATTGAAAAAGAACCAGTAATGGAACATTTTTTTTTGTCAAAGTATATTACATTTTAAAATGCCGAATCTTTTAAAAAAGTGTCTTATAACTTAATATAGAAGGAATACTTGAATTAAGTAATTTTTGTGGAGAGTTGCGATTTGCTCTTCTCTCTTTATCCCTTTGTCTATTCCCCTCTTCTCAATTTTAATCTCTCTGCTTCGTCTTCTTGTGCTGTGACTGGAAGGAGTCAATATCATGGGAAGATTTTAAAATAATTATTTTTTTTATTATACTGCTTTTATTATTTTTTGGTGCCTTTTATTCAAAATATATTAAAATAATTATTTTGACATTTATTTTAATATTTATAAAAGGGAAAATATTTTAATTGATGATAATAATTAATTATATGCATGCAAATTAGTTAACATCATTAATTTTTATCCTAACTTCTGTTACTCAATTTATTCTAGCTTCAATTGTGCAATTTCTAATCCAAACACAACCTAAAGTCAATCTTATCAAATACTATTTTGATTGCAAACTTGAGAAACTGAGTCATGACAAGTTAAACTTAAGGGATTGGGTCATAACCAAGGTAAAAGTTGAAGGACCAAATAACTAATTTTTCCAATAAAAAAATTAGATCATGGAAATTTAGAAATTATGATCTTATATACTAAAAATTATGATGTCATATGAGTTTTGTCTTGGAATGAGCTTCATGTTGTGGTCTCTCCCACTCCCACCTTTTTGTTAAACACCTAGTTATCTCTCTCTTTCTAAAAATTCGCACTCCAAAATCAATTTTTTAGTTTAGCAAACTACCAGGTCTTATAGTCACACAGTACACACTCACTTATAAAATAAACTACTGAGCAACTTACTTTTGATACCATATGTTAGGTCATTGTCGTATAATTAGCTATTGGACTGGGACTGACCCATAAACCCAAGGACGATTATTTCCCGAAAAACTACTTTTTTGTTTTTTGTTCTAGAATCATTCCTTTAATTGAAAAGGATAATATTGGGATCTTTTTATTTTTAAAAAAGTAACAAAGTAATTGTATTTTCTTAAAATATATTAAGATGTTGGAAATATCTTTAAGAATAGGTGGGAGTATGTTTTATATTATTACATTAAAGGCTATCACTATAAATTTAGAGGTTTGAGTGAAATTTTTGTCAAATTATTTTAACTAGTGGTGGTTAAAACACACATGTTACAAGTATCTTTTCACTCCAGATAGCCAGCCTTACGGGAGAAAATCTAAGAAAGGTCATTATATAATGATGATGTGGAATTTATTCTGAGTACAAATTTAGGGCAAGTGAAAATTTTCAATTACTTTCTGTAATGTCATTTTATTATACATCCAAATTTGTATAGCAACGTGTGATTTTTCAATAGAATTAGACAATTTGTCCTTTAACTCATGCATGTGTCCCCTATGATATAAATGTCCATCTTCTTTCAGGCCATATACCAAAAGACATCGGAAACTTGACCAAGCTTCAATTGTTATATCTTAATTACAATAACTTGGAAGGTATGGTATATCCAACAAATCATAGCATTGTTATATATGTTTGTTTTATCTGCATCTAAATTACAAGAAATATCCCTAATAAGCCATCTTTCTTGTGTCTTTATCACAAACGTGGGAAACCATATGTTAGGTAATTGTACAATATTTAGTTATCGGACTGGGGCTGACCCATAAGCCCAAGGACAATTATTTCCCAAAAAATTACATTTTTGGTTCTAGAATCATTCATTTAATTAAAAAGGATAATATTGGGATCATTTTGTTTTTAACAAGGTAACAATGTAATAGTATTTTCTCAAAATATATGAAGATGTTGGAAATATCTTTAAGAATAGGTGGGACTATGTTTTACATTATTACATTAAAGGCTATCACTATAAATTTAGTGGTTTGAGTGAAATTTTTTCAAGTTATTTTAACTAGTGGTAGTTAAAACATACATGTTACAAGTATCTTTTCACTCCAGATAGCCAGCCTTACGAGAGATAATCTAAGAAAGGTCATTTATATAATGATGATGTGGAATGCGTCATGAGTACGAGTTTAGGGCAAGTGAAAATTTTCAATTACTTTCTGTAATGTCATTTTATTATTCATCCATATTTGTATGGAAATGTGTGATTTTTCAATAGAAATAGACAATTTGTGCTTTAACTCATGCATGTGTCCCCTCTGACTATAAATGTCCATCTTCTTTCAGGCCATATACCAAAAGACATCGGAAACTTGACCAAGCTTCAATTGTTATATCTTAATGACAATAACTTGAAAGGTATGGTATATCCAACAAATCATAGCATTGTTATGTTTGTTTTATCTGCATCGAAATTGCAAGAAATATCCCTAATAAGCCATCTTTCTTGTGTCTTTACCACATACGTGGGAAATATTCTCAATAGATAAATGTGACCAATTTGAATTCTATATCTTTAAGCGTTATTTTTTTTTTTGTAGGTGATATACCAGAAGGTATTGGAAAATTGGATATGCTTCAAGAGCTATGTCTTGATCATAATAATTTACAAGGTAATTGTTTTTCGTCAAATTATGATATTCTGGCTACTTTAGCTTTTTTCTCTCTTTTTAGTTGTTTTCTCAACACTACCATGAACAAAAATGCATTTTCTTTTCCTATTTTTATTTTTGTTTATAAATTTGTGTATTACTGAAGTTTTCTTTTCTAACAATTCTTTAAAAATAAAAATAAGTACCTAGTTCTTGGCCAAAAAAAATTTCTTTTCCAATAATTTTAGAAATGCTGGTTAGGATGTCTTGTGGAGCATTTTGTTTGTTTGGAACAGATGAAGCTCCATTTAGAGTGACGAAAATGGATTTGCCTTTATGAATTTCCACATTAATCCAAAAATTAATATTTTAAAGTGCATGTGGAATATTTTGGAAAATAGTTTAAAAATATTGCATATTTAAATAGTTGTTTTGGGCCAATACATATTTAAATAGTTAAGTATACATGATTTTCAATTAGGACATGATATTATTTTTAACAGTGCTTAAATTAATTTTAAAACTTTTTAAATTAGAATTTTTATTTAAAATTAATTTCAAAATTAAATACAAATAAGTTTAATTAAGCATAGGGTAAGTTATACTTTAAAAAATTTATGAATTTTGGAGCTTTATAAAAATTTTATAATAGTAAATTAGAATGGTCTCTATAATTTTAGAATTTAAATCTGAAAATTTTTAACTCTATAAAGAAAGGTGCAATTCAAATCATCAGGATTGGAATTTTTGTTTTAATGAATCGCATGGGGATGGGGATGGGGATGGGGATGGGTTGGTAAAGTTTTGTCCGATATATATATATATATATATATTTTAAACTTTTATATGTTTTACTTCAATTTTTATATGATCTGAAAATATTGCTACCCAAGCCCTTATACACTTTTTTACTCTTTCATATTTCTTTATATATTTTATTGAGCTTCCTAGACATTTTTTAAGTCCTTCAATATTTTTTTGTATCTTTTAGTTATGTTTTCATTTTTTGGATAAATAATTATCTATTTCCTTTCTCCAAAAGACATTTTTCATTAGTTTAATTTTTTTATGTATTGTCAATATAACAACATATGTTTCTGATATGATATACATCATATGAAGTATAATAAAATAATTGTGAGGAACCTGTGTGGACCATCATCGTTTAATCTTAAATATTTTTGAATCTATATGAAGCTCAATAAAATATATATTGAAACATTAAAGACTATATATATAACCCAAAAGACCGTTCTTTTCTTTTTGTTAGATAATTACGTGTTGAAAAAAAATAAGTATACTATTACAAAAATTAGTATCCAGCTTGTATGTCATATAGGAAAAATAACTATTTTTTGATTATCTATTTAGTTTTTTTTTTTTGGCTACATGTAGCTTATGATATTATATTAAGTGTGTGTAACATTGAATGCACATAGAACCAAAAAAGGGGGGAAAATTAAAAAAAATTGTGTGCAATTGGCACTGTAGGAGGGGATCAACTTCCACGTGTCATGGGTTATATTTTTATTTTGAACATTTAGACAGTAACCAACAAATTATAAGTATATGACTATTTTTTTTCCTTGTCACATTTTTTGTGAATAACAATTGCAAACATCATATTTTTGTAAGCACATTCCATGAAATATTTTATAAGAAATGGAGGATTTTTTAAATTAAATAAAAACATTATAAACTTGAAAGATGATGCCTTGCGCTGTGCATTGGCCTCAATCATCTCATAAAGTTACATTGTATCATTTTAACACGTTACATGAAACTTTAAAATTACAAAATCTATCTCTGCTTATAAAATCATCTCATATACTTGGGCATAAATTAATTTTTTTATTAAATATCTACATGCATTGGAAACTTTATTTTGCTTAACTAAAAACAGTTCGATCTTGGTCACAATAACTTGCAAGCTATACTGTTAACTGATTTTATTTTGGTGCCATCCATCAATTTTTTTTTGTCTTTTGAAACTTTGGTAAATATGAATAAATGCTAATAGCTATTTGGTCAAAATATAGTTAATTATTTGTAATATTAAAGTTGGAACATATCCATTTTGATAAAAAAATTAATACTTATCACTCCCACAATAGTAATAAATTTGGAGTATTTTGGGTCAAACCCAGAGAAAGATAGTGATATTTGTTATTTATAAAAATAAATAAGAGTTTTGAAAATATTTTAATAACTGATTAAATAACACAAATAAATAAGGAAATGATAAAAGCGAAAAACTAACCCATTAAAAAGTGTCAGTGATTAGGATTCACCTACCAGGATGAATTACTCTAATCTAGTTATTTATTTCCTTTCTTTTATAGCCACAACTATTTCTAAGGCATTGTAATTACTTTCCAGTTTATTAGGATACATTTAATTAGAGTTAGATTTTGCTCCCACTAAACTCTACTCTCTAACTAAACCATAAAGTATGATCTAAGTCACCACCAACTCTTAATTTTTTTTTCTAATTTAATTATTGATGTCTGTCTCTCTAGGTCTTTGTAAGTCTTTCACCTTCTAATTCATTTAGATAAAAGATATAAAAAGAATCTAAAGAGGATGAAAAGATAGAAAGCTCCCAACTCAAAAGAACTCATTTGGACTCTGTGATATGCCTCCTAGCTTTCAGATATGAGATTGGATGACTTTGAGAGGTTTATTTATAATAAATTTGTCCTCCTTAGACTTAGAATCCATCCAGATCACATCTTATCATATCTGATTTGCTGATATCCTATTTAAAATATATTAAAATATTTAATTTCTACTTCTATGTACATGCGTGTGGTCGAGCAACTTTTATAGCATTTGTCTGCAATCGGATGTGTTCAAGAAATTTAGAATCACCATAGTGAGTTATGTCAGCGACCAAAGACAACGTTCATTGGCTTGTCCGCGACCAGAGGTGTCTTTGTGGCCTGATTTCTTGGTCTTTGTCTCTAGGCTTCATATTTTAAGCCCTTTTTCATGCTATTTTGTTTCTTTTCCCTGGAACACATTAATCAGTCAAAATAAGAGCAAAAATCATATATAAATCTACGTAAATACCCACTTATCAAATATCTATATCAATACTAAAATTTAAAGTGTTCATTTCAATTGTTCATTTAGAGTTATAAATGAGAATCTGAAATGGAGAATATAAAACTTCAAGTCTTATAATTTTATGAAGGTTAAAAAATAAAATTCTATAGTAATACCAAATTTAATTTTAATACGATTAAATGCTATCATTATATATTAGTGTTGTGTGTAAAAGTAAACTTTTCTTTTTGGTAAAATTAGACTTTATTTCTCTATAATCTTTTTGTTTGGGATTAACTCTTTAGTTTATGTTCGTTTAACATGGAACATGATATGATTAGCTTATTATTAGTTCTGCAAGTAAATAATATAATAAAAAATAATTGTTTGATGATCTTTAATATATCAAATTTATTGAGGAGCTTCAGCACAAGTGGAAGTGTTACTGTCACATTTTTTTATTATACATAATCACACGTAATTCTGCTAACTCTACTACTTAATTATTACAGTACGAATAATTCAGGATATATTTAATATATATGATAATTAAGTTTTGCATAAAGTTAATTCAGGTAACTTTTAAAATTTTGCAGTAAATTGCGTTTACTCTTCCCTCTTTACCCTTTTGTCTATTTATTTCTCCCCACTATTGACCTCTCTGCTTCGCCATAAGGGAGGAATCAAAACCATGGGAAGATATTAAAATAATTATTTTCTGTTCTGCCTCTTTTATCATTTTTCCATGCATTTTATTGAAGACATATTAAGATAATTATTTTGATACCTTTTATTTTAATATTTAAAAAGGGATAATATTATAATACTTGAAAATAATTAATTATATGCACGCAAATATATGTGTTATATGGAAAAAATATATATTTAACTTTATATATTTAAGGGGTTTATTTCTGATTAAATCAATATATGTGGACTTTTTTATAATTTAATATTTTATATTTTATCAACTTATTTTAGCTTTTTATAATTTAATATTTAGTAATTTATTAATTAAGTTTATATTTTTATAATTTATAAATAATACTTAGTTGTACATAGGCTCTTTTTGTGAAATTATAATTTAAAGTTTAACATTTTTTCTTGAAAATATCAAATCAAAATATAAAATATTTATCATAAACTTAATATCGTTTTTGGTCATTATACACCTAAACTTGCTTTGAAATTTTATCATTCAAACAAGTTTATGTTTGTCAGATTGACTTTTAAAGAAAAAAAAATATCCAAACATAAATTAGTTGATGTGGCTGATTTTTATCCTAAGTTCTGTTTGCAAACCTCAATTTATTCTAACTTTAATTTTACAATTTCTAATCCAAACACACCCTAAGTATTATTATAAATCACATCTCCTTCTTTTATTCTATTTCTTATTTATTTTTATTTTCCTTTTTCTTTATCAAATTGCAGGAGACATTCCAATAGAGATTGGCCATCTTCAAAAGCTAAAAATTCTATATTTGGATACTAATATGCTATCTGGCCACATACCATCAAATATCTTTAATATATCAGAGTTGCAAGAAATTGATTTAAGCTGGAATAATTTGTTAGGAAGTATTCCCTCAAATATATGTCATGGAATTCCAAATTTGCAAATGCTAAATCTTCAAGACAATGAATTATCAGGAGCCCTGCCATCTAATTGGATACAATGCAAAGAGCTCAAAGACTTACAATTAGAACAGAACTCTTTCACAGTTTGTGCTGCCCCACTATTTTAAATCTGCAGCTTTAATTTCTATGCAAATACATTTTAATTGCACATTAATGATTTGGGATTGGTCAACGCTGGAGAAGAAAAATAGAAAATCTATTTTTTTATA